CCTCCCCTTGCCATCCCATCCCAGTGGTAAGACTGGAGGACCCAGGTTCATGTAGCATCCAAAAGAAGAGGGCAATGAAGCCAGGCTGCCTGGCCACCTGTGTGCTGGGCCTGGGCCTCAGTGGTCCAGAAAGCCCTAGAGATGTATGCACAGGTAGGTGGTCCAGCCCAAAGTGGGAGGCTCCTTGGAATTTGGGGTTGCCTGGGTAAACACAGAGGGTGTACGAGCACTTGCCAAAGAGTTCTCTGTGTACAATAACAGAGGGCAGATATATCTTAGCATTAAAGCAGGGGCTGGGCTGTCTGAGAAGGTTCTAACAAGGCAGGGCTGGAGGTGCACTTCAGGAAGATTGGTCTAGAATGTGGAGCAGAATTCAGATGGAACAAGCTAAGCAGAGGCCTTTGAGCTGTGGGTGGGTCTGAGCCAAGAGTTTGCTGGGGCTGCAGGACAGATATGCAGCTCCCCTCAGCCCCTGTGAGCACGTAATTTCCCCAAATGTCCTGAGGCAATGGATGCAGCACTGTCCATCCTCCACGATCTGGCCCCAGAAGCAGCTGCCTCCCTCTGCCCCTGAACAGTGACTGGGCAGATAGGAAGCAGGGCCAGGGTGGGGGGCCAAGGCAGTGAGCTGGGCCCAGAGGTGAGTTTCTCAGCTACCACAGAATGAAGCATGTAATCTGCCTTTATTGCCTTGTCTGCTTTTTCCTCCCCCAGTGTTCTAGGATTGAATCCAGGAGGTTGCACTGAGTGACATTTCCTGCCTTTTTATTTTTTATTTTGAGGCAGAGTCTCAGTAAACCACCAGGGTGGGCTCAAACTTACAATCATCCTGCCTCAGCTTTTCAGAGTGCTGGGATTACAGGTATGTACCACCACAAAGGGTTTCCTCTCTACTTTTTATATACCTGCTCTCCAACTGTCAGTCTCTCCTTTTCCACCCAGTAACTCCAAACCATTAGACTACCCTGGCATCTCCTCTTCTCAGGATAGAACCATCTGATAACTCCAAACAGTGAATGAGTTTGTGACTGAAGGCTTTTCCTCTCTGGGGATAACTTTTCAAAGACAGAGTGTCAGGAGACAAGGTTGAACCCAAAGAAATTCTCTGAGAAAATTCTGGAACACTGAAACTGAAATTTGCATTATTACCAATAGCTTTTAGTATTTTTCTGATTAATCCATTCTTTTATTCAGTCAACACTAATGAGCATCTACTATATGACGTGTCATACTGGGTGCTGAGAATGCAAAGATGAAGAAGCACCAACAGTCCCAAAGAAAAACCAACTCACAATGTGCGTGTGGCAACTGTCTTCAAGTCCTTCCTACCTGCTCAAGACACCCACTTAAGTAGAAACATTTGCAGATTGAAAATCATTTCTATCTTGAAGAAAATGTTCAAATGGGTAAGAAAACAAGCTGGGGAGTGGATGTGGGGGAGAAAGGACAGAAGGGGAAAGAAAAAAGAGAGAATAGAAGGAAAAAATGGAAACAAAGCTTTTGTAAACAAGGAGGGGAAGGGGGGTGAAAAAAGGAGAGGGCATGAGGGACAAAAGAAGAATCAAGATATATTATGGACAGCTTCAAATTCTCTGTAATAAATGTGATCATTATGTAGATCTAAAATATACTAAATTTTTTTAAAAGGAAAAATAAAAATGTATATACAAATGGCTAAGATGGATGGAAAAATAAGAATTAATACACATCCTTTTTTTTTTTTTTTTCAGAATTGGGGATTGAACTCAGGCCCTGGCACTTGCCAGGCAAGCGCTTATTCTACTGAGCTATCTTCCCAGCCCCAACATGCTTCCTTTTGTGGGCATTACCAGGGATTGAACTCAGCACCTTGTGCTTGCCAGGCAGGCACTTACACCACTGAACTATCTCCCCAGCCCTAGATATGCTTCTGAAAATAATAATAAATAAATGTGCTTTAAAAAATCATTCCTTTCTACTTATTAAAACAGTTCCTATAAAGATGTTTATGAAATAGTACTTTTTAGGCCTAGACTTGAACTTGGTAAAGCTATATGTTGACAGACATAACTCATACACTTTCCCATTGAGCCTGCACAGCCTGCCACTCATGCCCATCCAATGAGAAGATCTGCCTGCAGCTGTTGGGAGCACCATCAGGACTGATTTCTTTGTGGTTCCATTTGAAGGGCTCCAGACTGATCACTGGGGTCAACTCCTTCTCCTTTCATTTCCTGCTATAGCATGCAGTGCATGAATCATTTGATTTTTTTTATTTGCTCCTCTTTTTCTTTGGGTTATATTTGGTATTACTCTGACTTCCCTTCCAAGCCTATTAATAATATATGCTAACAGGTCATACCACACTTCAACATACCACACACCTATAGATAGCAAAACATGGCATGCACTGAATTATTCAATAGGTGAATAATCCCATGGAAAGCATTCCATACCCAGACATGCAGAGTTGTTAATTCGGATGATGCACACAGCATCCTCCTTCGGTTCTCCCCCAGCCCTGCAAATCTGTTGCCAGGAGCTGCCCAACCCATTTTAAAGAAAGCACAACCTGCTCACTCACCAAGGTATAAAATCTCCCACTTACAGCCCAGTTCTGATTATACTAGCTATTATCTCCCACACAAAAGAACTGAGTATAGCACCATCTTTCTATATAAGCAGGTGATTTAGGGTCAACTAAAAATTGAGACTTGAAATTGGAACTGTCCTAGAGAAATCTGGGATATGTGGTCATGACATTTTTCCTGTGAGTAAGGGAATTCTTAATCAAATGTGACTTTTCAAAAGGATGTTGACTCAGCTGGTGGTGACATTGGACAAGGGCACCTAAGTTCCAAAAGCAAATTGATAGGGGCCAGCAGCTTCTGACCCTGAGAGATCCCAAGTGACAGGAAAGGAGGTTGGTCTGAATCATCAAGAGGAGGAGTAGAAAATTAGGCAGAAGGGAGACAAGACAGAGAAGGAGATGTGAGGGCCAAGAAGGGGAGGCACAAAGAAAGGAGAAGAACAGGCAGAATGAGAAGGGAAGAAAGTGAAAGGCAATGAATACCAAGGAGGGAGAGAAGATGGTGGCGGAAGTAGGCAGTGTGGACAGTTCCCGTGCCATGGCTTCAGCTGCCAACAAGGATAACTGTCAAGAAATAATCTCCCCGGGCCCCGCTCACTCCAGCATTTTCTAGCCAAAGCCTCTTGAGTAGCCATCTCTTCCATGAGGCTCCCTAGTGAGGCAGACACCATCTCACTTACCCAGTCCACCTCCCATTTGGACAGGCCAGAACTCCTACAGCCCATATACAGGAAGAACTGTGGTCCTGACAGGTCAGCATCAGACCCTTGTGTCACTGTCAAGGCCTGTAGTCATTTCCATCCCCTGGGCTCACCTGTGGGCACCTCTTCTCCTGGCTTCTGACATCATAGCCACATATTTACCTTTTCAAAGCATTGAATATGGATGGGGGAATTACAGATTATATCTAGATATCCTCCCAAAACCACACGGAGTCATGGATGGGGAGTTTCGAAGGTGGCTGGATTAGGGTGTGTCAAAGTGGATTAAAGGTGTGATTCTGAGATTAAGGGGATGGATAAGGGAAGCCCCAACTGGACGTGGATGGTATGGATCAGTAAGCCTCCAACCTAGACCCAAGATAAAAGGAGAGAGAAAGGCAGTACTGCAGCTGCTTGGTGCCACTGTTTTGCTGTCTCCTGCCTGCTTGTCATGGACTATTTCTTTTCGGCAGCGGTCCTCTGCCATGTGCCACCCAGCCTCGGAGCTGCTAACTACAGGCTGTTGAAACCTGTACAGACTCTAAGTACTGTTTTTTGTTTGTTTGTTTTAGCAGAACTGGGGATTGAACTCAGGCCCTTGCACTTATTCTACTGAGCTATTTCCCCTGTTCTTGGGTTATCGTGGCTCTTTTTTTTTTTTTTTGTGGAACCAGGAATTGAACTCAGGCCCTTGTGTTTGCCAGGCAAGTACTTATTCTACTGAGCCATCTCCCCAGCCCCCCAAAACTCTAAGTTAAATAAACCTTTCTTCCTTTAACTTGTGGGTGTGGAGTATTTTGTCTGAGCAACAAGAAAAGTAATTAATATGTGGGTGGAGCATCTCCTCAAAAACACGCAACTTCTCTGCAGGGCTAATTTCCTGTTTAAGCACCAAAATTAACTATAAAGAAAGCCCAAGTCTCTTTCCCTGTGGAGCTGGTTGAAGAGTTAGCCTTTACTTGGAAACACGACAACTTTAAAAAAAAAACACCGAATAGCTCAATTATCCCCTGGAAGCCCTGGTATTTGATACCCACACCCAGCTGCAAGCAGAAAAGGAATCCTGCCTTATCTACAAAAATTCCCTATAATCCCTTCCTGTAAAGATCTGCCTTGCCTGAGAATATTCCATTTTTATTCATTGAATAAGTAACACTAAATTCCTACTTCTAAGTTTGCAGACTTTCTTTAGCGACCAATCCTAGCTACAGCAGATCAAGAGGAAATGGCCATGTGATGGCACCGCATCACACCTCAGCGCCATCTTGATGCACACAGTTCTGTTCCAACCAAGAGCAGATGCACTCAGAGCTGGGCAGTGGACTTCAGAGGAGCAAGGAACCACTACCTGACAGCCACGCCCAGTGCCATCCACACATCTCCCTGCTCATACTTGCTGTCAATGTGCAACATCCCCAGTGCAGTACACAGCCTGCATTCCCATCCCCAAATGGAAGCTTGAGACCCAGGCCTCCCACCCCATCCTGCTCCAGAAGAGGCCACTGAGTCCCTGCTTTGTGGAGGCTAGGTCCTATCCCTTATCCTTCACATCTATTCACTCCACAAGTTAAAGGATACAGGCAGATTCCCCCAAAAACAGTGATCTGTGAATCATTGGACCAAGTCACTCCTTCCCTGTGGGCAGCTCTCAGAGTGGGCAGAGGGGCAAGAACTACAGTGTCCCCATAGGACAGGCTCCTCCCTCCCTGGCCATTTGCTGGGGTCTGTACCTGGAGCTGGAGTCACTGTTGCTCTGCACTGCTGGGTCGTCGGTGACATTAAAGAGCCCCGTCCAATTGGCCAGCTGGTCATCACTCTGCCAACCAAACTGGAGGTCTCTGGCAAGAAAATGAGGCAGGGTTGGTGTATGTGCTCACTTACTGGGGTAAGCCTGTCTACCAGAGAGCCACACTCTGCCACTGAGCCAAGAGCACAAAGTTTTGACTGTACACTGAATGAACACAATGACTAACCACAGGGGTGACAGTGGTAGACCACAGCTTCTGGTGGCATCTCTGCTGTCCTGCATCCAGCCCTTCACTTCATTTTTAGAGGCAGGGTTAAGATCCCACGTTTTATATGCAGGAAAACTGAGGCTTAGTGAGATTAATGTCACAGCAGGGCTTCTCTATCCCTATGTGGTGCTGTACCTTAAGTCCACCTCTAGAGGTTTAACCAAAAGAACTCCAGTCTCTAGCACTTTGACCTCTTTGAAAGTCAAATACTTTTAAAATGTTTTCATGAAATTCACAGTTTCCTGATGTATAAGGACACTATTCCTAGTTTAAGATGATGGCTTAACCTGTTTATCTCTACTCTCTTTCCAAACCTGATGAAAATGACAGCAAACAAAAACAAGGGCTATAGAAAATTTTGTACTAATAGTGTTTAGACAAGATATCATGTCTATATCTTGTCCTCTGAATAACTACTATGAAGACAATATGCAATGTATTAATTTTTGTAACTGTCCTACTAACCTGTCTTTGAAACTGTTTCGTTGCTATTTGATCTTTTTTTCTCATTAAAATGAATTTAAAAAATTTAAAAAGAAAAAAAAAGGACATGAAGAGATGACAGAAGAGGATAGCAAGATTTGGGAAAGACAACAAGCATATGGGTAATCAACTTAGGGCATAAAGAGTGAGACCCACACAACCTACAAGAGGCAGGTCTATTCACAGTGCACAACGGCTCAGAGGCTTGAGGATGCAAGAGTCAGGGTCACTGCTGGTGTGGAGGGAGGCAAGGCAGAATAAAGGTCAAAGGACAGTGGTAAGATTACAGGAGCAAGTAAACACCACCCGCATCTAGTACATACCTATGTCCAGTCCAGATTCCCTTCCCAAACCCACACAGCCTGGCCACTGCATCTACGCACCCCATAGATGGCACGAGATTTGCTCCCTGGGATCTTTGAACCATAAAAGTTGTTCACTGTTCTCTTCATGTGTGAATTATCCACACTGAACACAGCTATGACACCTGATGGTCTGCTGACTGAATTTACTTGTGGTCTCTGTGCTGGGACCACCCACTCTGCCTATCCTTAGGTCTAGCTAGGAAAACTGAAGCTCAAAGAAAATGGCTAGGAAGACATGAGCTGGTACCCACCTAAGTATTCTACAATAAGATTTCTCACCTGGCACAGTAGACACCTGGGACTGCAGAGTTCCTTGCTACGGGTCCACCCTGTGCACTGTAGGATGTTCTACAACATCCTTGATATCTGCTACTAGATGCCAGCAGCACCAAACCCCAACCCTCCTTCATGATAACTGAAAATATCTCCAGGCATTGCCACATGTTCCCTGTGTGCAAAATCACCTTGATTGAGAACCTTTATCATAAAATAATACATAGTACAAGGAACGTTCTCATAACTGACTGACCCTTAAACACAAATGGGCTATTAGGTACCACTGGTGCTTGAAGAAGACTTGACCTTGAAAGTCAGAGAACAAAACAATTTTTTTGAAAAAAGAAACAGGTCTGGAAGGTGTGCTGGCCACAAAGATGGCAAGAAGAAGCCCCTGAAGCAGCCCAAGAAACAGGCCAAGGAGATGGACCAGGAAGATAGAGCATTCAAACAGAAGTAAAAAGAGAAGTGGAAGAAACATGAGGAGCTAAAAATGAAGGCTACAGGAAAGGTCCCCCTGGCCATAGGTGGAATTAAGAAATCTGGCAAAAAATAACTGTTCCTTGTGCCTAAGATGATGGTGACCCTGGATTTCATTCCTATTCAAATATCTGGATTCCCCGCCATAAGATCTCTTGATACCTATAACTAAAATGAAGTGTGTTTTTGGAGTCTGTTGTACATTTAAGCATAACATTTTATTTAAAAAGATTTTTAAAAAACAGGGACAGGGACAGATACAAATTTAATGAAACACTTAATGAGTAACCCCTCAGCTAGAGGAATGGAACAGCAGACAGTTCTTGGAGCTAATCTGTCCACATCTCCACTAATGAGCTGATGCCCTTAGTTGAGTCTGTGCTCCGCTCAGGGTCTAGCTTCTCATCTCAGAAGTAAGCGAACTGTCCCGGATGTCTCCAAACTCTCAGCTGCCAAGAGCTGGGCCATCTGTCTCCCTCAGATGCCTCTGCCCGTCTCCTGTGCTGGCTCTGTTTCCTAGCCCGAATCTGGTTTTAGTGAAGAGCTGCAGACATGAGATGCTTAGTGCATACTTTGCTGCCTGCTGCCGGTTCCCTTTCCATCCTCTTAAGTCTCCATGGCAGAGGGGAGTTTATCTGGCAGAGGAATAAACTTGGCACAGCCCAGCCTGAGACTGAGGCAAAACGTCCATACATTGCTCAGTGTGCTCAGAAAATGGCGATCCTCCATTTTGGTCTGACTCAATAGGTTTTCGTTTATTTACTTATTGCAGTGGTTAACTTTCAGCATGTAAGAGATCAGGGAGGTATTTCTTGAAGAGCATTTGATTTGGTTTACTCAGAAGAGAGACCTGGGTGGAACTTTAACCATGAACGGGGCTCCTTAGCTACATGATCTTGCTTTGTATGAGAGCCCATGCAGAGAGTCTCATTATCTGTATTGATGAATCATGAAGTATACAGTCCAAATAATTTTGGGGACTTTCTTAAGATTACAAGGCTAACCAGTGGTTAAGCTAAGATTTAAACCTAGGACAGTCTCATTCTGATTCTGAAAATATAAAACAAACAAACAAAAAACTGTCTTCCTGAGGGAGAGGGGTAAGGAATAATTTACACCAGAGATTTTGCAAATTAACTGCTTTGGAAACATATTCAAATGAGTTTTCACCCAACATTTTGCTATAAAATTCACAGGCTCCTTAAAAATAACCTGGACAGTGAGACTTTTCCCCACTGAATGCGCAGAAGGTCAGCTAGGCACATGGCATCCTCCCACCCACGGGGGACAGTCTTTCCCTGGAAACAGACATTCATTACAGTCCTTGAGCAGGAAATATGGTGGCATAGAAAGAGGCTCATTATAAATTAAATTTTTAAAAAACAGGCTACAAAAAGAAGATATGCAGAAGTTCTAATTTTACAAGGTTTTACATTATAAAGCTGGTTATCCTTATAGGTGGAATTAAAGCTTATTCTTTTGGGGGAGGTTAGCAGTGTTTTTCTGATTCAACTAAAAATGACTGCACCATTTTCAAAACCACCATGCTACATAATTTACATTTCTTTCCTGAGCTAAGTGTCGGAATTGTCCGTTATTTGCTAATTGCAGCCAAATAAGAAAGGCGTACAGAGGTATGAAGAATAACAAAAGAAAAAGAAATTTTATTCACTCATTCATTTATTCAGCACTCACTACTATTTATCTATTATGTGCCAGAAACTGCTACTCACGAGGACAAGCAACCAAAGAGAGCAAACTCTTGTTTTCAAAAGGCTTACTGTCAAGTTCAGGTGATTAAACTAAAATACATGAAAATAACACATGAGAACTAACTAACACACATGAAAATATTAGCCAAAAAGTAAACTAACATATATGAAAATGCTAGCAAACAAGGTGGTGCAGCATCAATATATATAGCTAAAGGAGGTGCTATATCTGTTTTGTCCTCATTCATTTTAAAAGAAGAAAAAGATTTGAAATAAATACGGCAGAATGCTGATACTGTTAATTCTTAGCCATGGTGACATAAATATGTCTTATGCTATTCTCCACATTCTTCTATATTCCATCATTTTGTTATTAAAACAGATGTTCAAACATTTTAAATAAAGTATAAGAATCACTAATAAGGCCTTAGAATCAGCAGAGCTGCTTTCTGCCCTCAGAGACCTTTACAGAATCTCTGCACCTTTCCATTTGAGCCATCACAGCACTGTCTTCAACCTAAGGAAACAGTCTATATAGTGCTGTGCAAACTGCTGTGCTCAAGTCTAGATTTACATACAGCAAAACTGTATGGTGCCACTAATGCCCACACTTTCTCATAAGTTACATGTCTGGTCCAGTGAAAATACCTTCATTCTATATTTTCCAGTTATGAAATATGGGAAAGCTTCACAGAGGCTCAGTTTCCCTCTATTGTTGTGGTTGGTGATGACAACACAGCTCAGCCAAGTCCCTGTTTTATAACCCTAAACATAGAATTGAACAACCTGCTCTCAGGCAGTGAATGCTACTGCCATTGGTGAAAACTTCCCAGTCTTTCTCAGTAGCAGCTATCAGTGGAATCTCATGGGAAAAAAAATCACATATCAGAGAATTAATTTTATTTTTATTTATTTTTTAATAATTTTATTGAGAAACAAATAGCAATGAGACAGTTTCAAAACCGATCAGTAGGACAGTTTCAATAATAAATACATTGAACATTGTTGTCTTAGTGGTTATTCATTGTACAAGATGCAGACATGACATCCTGTCCACAAACAGTATTAGAACAAATCTTCTTATTCATTGAATTAAGAGAACATAGCTGTATATCTATCCTACCTATTTTGAATATACAGATACAAAACGGTCATTCATTTGTATCCCTTTTTTGTTTAGTTTTGTCAGAGAAGGGTATTCCATTGTTATTTAAATATTGTAGGTGCAAATTTTGTCCAATATAGTCTAGTAGTCCATAATACTAGTGGGTCATCTACAGGACTGGCAATGCCAGAAGTTGTTGGCCTGAGCCCTTTACAGCCCAGCATACCAACATGGCTTCACCCCTTATACCTTGTTTTTATACCTTTTTGCTGGATGGTTAAGACGAAGATAAAGCAAGACCTATATAACAAGAAATGTAACTTTTGTACCTGATAAGGTCAGTCAAGTCCCCTCAGGATTTATCCTGAAACCCTGTACCCCACTTTGTAGATCCTTTGTGTC